GAAATTGTGCAGTCTATTCATGATTCAGATTAAAACCAAAGACCAAAGCAACTTTTAATATTGTTCCTATAGTATTTATAAGCATTATTTAAGAAAAAATAATTACAGCCATACTTGAATAATTCCTTAAATCAACTGTAATCAATATTTTTAGTATCAACATATCAATGAGCGATAGCTTGTTTCAGCTCATTGTTTTGGTTTTTCAACCTTCACTGTTTTGAATGAAAAAGTTCTGATAAACCCACAGTATGCTACCTGCTCAGCACCTAAGGGCAGACAGACAAAGTAAGCGACTAGCTGATGAACGTGGTAGAGCATTTCATAGAATATTAGACTTACATTTAAAAATACAACCCCAAATGAATGATAATGTTACTCCTTATCTTCTGGATGTAAATAATATATAAATATTGTTATATCAACTTTTTGGGAATTGTAAGGTCTCTGTACATAATATCATAAGGACTAAGGTCTGGACTTGTTCTATATGAAAAGTGTCCTGAGATAACGTCTGTTATGATTTGCTATACAAATAAAACTGAATAGAATTTCACTTTATATGATGATACAATGTTGCTGTTGTGTTTACAGCTTGTTTCTGCTGCCCCCAAGTGGTGGGAAAATAGTCACAGCCTCATGTGAAGATTTTCTTTTTGCTCTGTTTCTTGTCACTCCAAAAACTATTACTTAAGAGAATTTTAAGGCTTATTTTTGGTCTACACTGATTTCTTTAATTGATTCATTGCAAACATATTCAGCAATATAAAGTAACTAAGTTGTAGCCCTAATAAGGTTTCCATTGTATCTGCCACATTTCCAGCCGTGTACTCCCCACACATGGAATTATCTTTCCTTGCATTTTACTGAGCTGCACTGCAGAGAGTTAACAGTCCAGTATAGTAGATCCATGCTGCAGATTCCAGTTCAGTATTGACGTCCTGTCACCCCTGGGGACCACTTATAGTGAGAAGAGACCTGAGTCATCACTTACTGAGCACTAGCCAGTGATGAGAAGCACCATACCATCAGCTAATGCTCAAATAAAAAAAATAGAAAATACAATGAATATGTCGATAATTGCACAACAGTTGGAGGTGTTTATTCTCACTGATGATAAGAAAAGGAAATTGTATCATTTTCAGTAACGTAGCAAATCGGATTTTTTCTTTCATGTAGGTTTCATTGATCACAATCAGGAATAACAGCTTAATCTGATAAGGAACACTAAATTGAATACATTCATGTTCTGGTCTGGTCTGTTTTATTGTGTTCTGTATTCCAGTATCCAGTATGTGATTGAAATCAGACTGCACATACATTGCTATGAACCATTTGCTCCTCCCTTCCTCTAAGGTGTAATAAGCAGCGTGCTTTTGGACAAGCTGTGTGTCAGTGGCTGACACCAGTAGCAGAGCTGGCCGTCTGACCTCCAAACATCATTGGTCAGCAAACTGGGGAGGGGGAGACATACAGTGCTGCAGTGTCTTTTTTTTCTGCAGAGGGCAGAGAGAACATGCTACAACATTGCTGCTGCTGACTGCACCACTCCTTGTATGTACATTTCCCTTCCTCTCTTCTTCCACATCTCTTGATCTTAAATCTCTTCATCTCACTTACCCTATGTTGCCTTTTTCATCTTCACCAGCCTCATGTGAAGATGAAAAAGGGATTTTATCCCCCCTCTTCTTAAAATATCAACGTGAAGTCAAGCAAACAAAGACTTTGAATTAGCCCTGTTCCCCTGCTTTTTATGAATAATTATTCTTGTTTATGTAGTAGTTGCCCAGTAAATCAGACAATGACACTGCTGTGAGACTACAACAAACTCCATTAGACACTTTGTGATGTTTACGGGATAAACACATAAGGGTAAACAGATAAGTATGGTGTACAACTCACAGCTTTCTGGTGAATATCAGTGTATAGTGAGGGTTTGAACACACTCATAATGCAATTACTGTGTGAGTTAATGTACAGGATTACATAACATAGGTTAACATTCACCATGTATAGCAGTGAAGAGCCAAGAGGGCAAACCTACCTTTTGTTTTGAGGCATTCCGCCGCTCCAGAGATTCAATCTGCAAATGAGGGAGAGGAGATTTACCCGAGCCGGTAAGATGAAGAATGTGGCACAAACACTCCCATTGATGGAGCCGCTGCCCCCGCAGTTATCCCTTTTGCATGAGTGCATTCAATCACAAGTACGCATGACACGCACTAGCCACTCTCCTGCTAAGTGAAACATGTACAGCAATGCCTGTCACTCAGTTCACAGTACAGTAGGGGTGTTTCTCCTTACTTTTAATCCCTCATTCCAGTGCCAAGTTGGTTCTCCTGAGAGAATCTGATGCACCTAATTCCTGTCAGCTTTCATGTCTCTGTTTGCCTCCTTCCCCTCCTGAGCTGTTGACAGTGCACTTCATGATTTAGGCAGTATTAAAGCAGAACGGAGCTGCAACAATTCCCTGCTGCATCATTTGCTCTGGTTCTCCTCATGGCCCCTTATGTCTACATACATCTTCTGCTCTCTGTTTATTTTATAGCTATGTTTCCAGCTGAAATACCCTGAATCTTATCTCTCCCTTTTCTTCACCACATTAACTATCTTGGCCACCACCACAGTGCAGACCATGCTAGCTCTCTCCACTTTTTACAGGTCTTCAGCAATCCAGCTATTGGCACAAAGCCCTGTAAGCTGCCTCGGCTTAGCACTAGTCTAAACCAATCAGGTGGCCTGAGGTCTATCCCAGGAAGGACCTGCTTTATTAATCTGAGGGGAGGATAAAGAGGAAAAGAGAGGGGATAGAAAAGTAAATGTATGTCTATGTCCGTATTATCATGGAGGATGAGGGGGGTGTTTATTGCAGATCTTTTTTCTCAGGGCAATGTAATGATTCCTGCTTGGTATGCTGTAGAATCACCAGCATGAAAGGTCACAGGGTTGGGGGCCCCCTCCATAAATCTTCAAATAATCAATCTATTGGCAAAGAGAGTGTGCAAGGAAGCTGGAAAACACAGAAAAGCTGACATGCTATGTCAACAGGGAGACATTAAAAACATATATGTCAGAGGTATTGTTGGTGCAGGAAATTCTGTGACATTAAAGTACAATTAAATCCAGAAAACAACAACGGTTTTGCAGGTATTTGGTAAAAAAAAAAAGTATTTCATGAATCAATATTTTGACCTGATGATGGCACAAGATCAAAGTTCAAGGGATCAAAGTGATTAAAATTCATCCTTTGGGGTCAATAGCAGATGACCCAGAAATCAAATCAAATAGTTGTCGAGATATTTAAATAAAAACTAAAAATGTCAAATGGATATTAGTAGTAGTAGGGATAATATAGAGACATACACTATATATTTCAGTTTGCACCAAAGTGGTGGATGGAGACGGAGGCATTGCCCTCCCTAGAGCCACACTGCTTGCATGGCACAAAGAGATTTTCCCAACTGCAAAGACTTCTAATAAATATTCATCATGGATTGCAGTGGGAGAAATTATCAATTTCAGCAGCACTTTGACACAGTGCAGCTTTGAACCATGTTCGTTTGGATTAATGGCATAGTTGGGAATGATTTGATATTGTGCTCTGTTGCACTAATTAGCTAATTAATGCACAGTGGTTAAATGTAGTTGCTGGCATGATATGATTAAAGATTCGATATGACACTGAGGGTATTCCAGTGAGAGATATGCTCTGTCAACAGGATATAAAAGCAATTATCAAAAGAAGTATTTCCCTTTGAAGTGAAATAAACTTCAAATGAAAAGACCTACTTTTAAAGGATAATCATCATGACATATCACGTACCCATAATAAATAACAAGACATTACTTACTTTAGCTTTTAGACAAGGCATGGGAGGGCTTGTTGATCTATTGTGGTTTCAATTTATGACTCATTTAGCACCAGCAGCAGGTAATTTTTGCTTTTACAGTACATTACTGCTGACCTTTCAAAATCGGTTTGGCCATATGGTTATCTTCAGATTTATTGGTGTCTGAACTGGCTCAGTAATGCACTTACTTGCTGGCTAGAGCTATAAAGATAGTCAATAAATTACCTTCACTCCATTTACCTGCAATGTATTTCATTGATGATTCATACTTTTTAAAAATAACCAACTCATCATTTTAAACAAAGAAAGCAAGAAGAACACCAAAAAACCCAAATGTGTTAGAAATAAAGGTTAAAGGTGGTGACAGACTGATTTAAAGATTTACAAGTGTTAACCCTCTGTGATGTTTTTGAGAAGTTTTTAGAGCAACTTCCAGCTACCTGGTTTGAGTCACTCTGGAAGATGAGACTTGCAACGAAGGTCCACGACTGGACCCAAACCAACAGCGTTGCAACTTAATGATCAGACATCTAGCACACCAGGACACCTTAATGTCATGAATTAAGTGAAATTCATGTAAAAAACATGTCCATGTCTTACAGTTACCTCAGGAGGAGCGACACGCAACAGAGGAGACTCCATTTCCTGTCACATCTCTACCGGCTGCTATCAAATAAAGCGAGAAAATTCCCCTTAAAATACTAAAAAAACAATTCTTATCAACTAGACTGTATTTCCATCTGCCAACCAAAGTAATAGCTTGTTTACTTGTTATTAGACACCAAAACATCGAATACTTCATATGCCACAGTATGTACACAGTATCAAGGAAAGATTATCTGTTGTATCTTTTTGGATCAGAAACTTTTATGTATTAAACTTGCTGTACCTAGAGGGTGACATGTTGCTGGGAGGTTGAGTGACTCAATAACAGTATTTTACTGCCCTCTAGTGGTTATTTCAAAGTAACCCAGTTATTTTTTTTCCTCCCAGCTTATCTTACTCCAGTTTCACTTCTCTGGAAATCTAAATGAGGGCATGTTGATTTATAAAACGATAAAGAATTAACCATCATCACATGACTTGAAAGATTTCTGTTTTCACAACTTTGAAGATGACCCGGAAGAGTAAGTGAAAGGTAAGGCCAACAAAAGACTGTGTTGAAACTGTCTACACCGCTGTGTGGATTATACAGACATGAGCCCTGAAGTCTTCTTCTCTCGGATTCTCCTACTTCTGCATCTTGACAGTTGCAGCATCTATTTTTAGGGAACTGTATGCCACAGGTGAGTCAAGCTCTCACTTCCATCTGCAAGGGGAAAAAAAATATCAAGCTATATCGTAGGTTTAGGGCAGCAGCTGCTCCTAGAACATGAACATATTTACCGGTCACACTTAAGTTGGGTGGTTAAATACTTCCTAAGTGATCAGTGTCCATTGTATGTCAGTGTTACCTAATAGTTCAACTTTGGACTAAACAAATAAAGTGATACCATGCAGTACCTGCCTGGTTTATGATCCTGAATGAGGAAGCCATTGAGTGTTGAATTTTAACAACAGTATACAAATAATTGCAACTGTACAGTTTATAGGCAGATCCATTTATGCTATTTGAATTCAGAACAAACTAATACGTCAAAATCTTTATATAATATATATATAATATAAAATATAAGGTTTGATTGCATGGATTTGAGCACCTGGCATTACAGGTTATTTCAGAGCTAGACTGGGCCTACCTGTCTTCTGGAACAGGCATCAGTGACTCATCAGTTGAAGACAAGTTAATTCTTGTCAACTATGCAGCAGGGAGCAAGAAGTCAGACACATAAAGAAAGGCCAGGAGTCATGCTTGGTTTTCTGAGGATGTATACCCTGAAAAGTAAAAAAAAAAAAAAGCCTTACAAAATCTCAAAAAATACAATACACTGCAGGTGTGACAACACAGGCATGCACAGTATTAAGTATGAATTCATGTTCCTTCAAACTAATCACAGGCATTATAGCTATTAAAAATATTTACACTTGCGGAGTATATATTTACAGTTTAAACACACTATTTTATTTTACGATTATAGCCTATATACATATATTTACATAACTAACCACTTCAAGTATATCCATTCATTTATTTGAACTATTTGTATTGTGTACACTTTACATAAACACTTGTATATACACATTGAATGCTGCTGGCCATTGTTGGTTTTTATATAGTTATAGCCTATATCTATTTCTTCACCTACTTGTAACTAATTAAATGTTTATTTTCTTTTCCTTTTTAACTTATGTGAAGTGTCTTTGAGTTTCTTGAAAAGCGCTCTATAAATAAAATGTATTATTATTATTATTATTTTTACCTGGCTTAGCTCACCTTTGTTGTCTTTTAGCTTTTGTTTCTATCTTCAGTTAAACTGTTGTTGGAACTGTAAGTAGCACATTGAGAGTAACTTAAAAACCAGAGTTAAATTCCTTGTATGTCTGAAAACTGCAACTAAAGTCTCCACGTTAAATGTCTTGCACGTCTATTCGTACATTTACGGTATTGATTTCCACACAGCGATAAGCGTCAACACGAACACGGCTTGTTTTAATTCAATCATTGGTGATTAAAGCAAGTTAATAAAGAATGTGTGCTCTGTCATTAAGTTATTTTAAAACAGATAAACGGGGTTTATAATTTAATTGGCGATTGGAAACGCAATTGGCTTTAATTTACCCTTATGTAATACACACAGACGTAGATTACGGTAGAGGTGCAGCGTTTTCCTTCCAAGACAACATCCGTCCCACTCTGATGATTATTTCCTAAATGTCACCACCTCCGCCTGTGTACACCACGCCTCACCAGATCCTTACCAATGTCTGCAGCCACGTATTTCAGCAGGCACTGTGGATGTTTAATAATCTGAAGTATGTGAACATTCTGGTTGTAGAATGTGAGTTTAAATGTCACTTTCTAATACCTCTGCTTATCCTCCTGCTAAAAACAGTTACATGTCCAGTGGATGTGGACCCTGATGCAGAAGTGAAACCAGACCTTCCAGTTTCTCATTTCCTTATTTCCTCCTTTGGTTTCTGCAGATTTTTTAACTCCTGCTGAGACTCTAGTCTGCGGTCGAGGAGAATAAAGACAGTGGCGCTGCAAGTGAATGCCTTCTGTTTGCAGTCTGTGTGCAAATCTGGTAAGAAGTCTGTAGGTTTTATATAGAGATAGCCAGACTAAAGAGTGTGTGATATAGGATTGTATGATAATTATCATGTTGGCATCCTGTGAGTAATAATATACCTTTGGGACAAATGTTTCTGTAGGCAGAATTTAAAATTTATATGTGGTAATGTCATAAATGGAACAAAATTATGACTTATTTTCTCTACTGAGTAAACATTGGTGGACTATTCTGTGTATTAAAGCTGCACCAATCAGTTGATATTTTCATATTAACAGTAAAGCGAATGAGTAAAGTAAAAGATGTTGCTCATAGTGATGAAGAGAATTATCACCCGATCTGACTCACGTCCCCTGGCTATTTTGGTTTTACAGACCACAGCTGTTTCGAATGGCTCCTCTCATCGACTTCCTTTTCAGTTGCACGGTAGTTGTTTTTAACCGAAAGGCTCTGATAAACCCACTTTACCCTGTGAGTTGAAAACAACTAAAATGCGATTACAATGTCAACGTGTCACAAAAAACTAATTTGTTTGATCCTTTGGACGTTTTGTTCAGTTTTAGGTTGAGAGCGAGATATTGATTAGTGTGAGGGTATTTCCTCAAAGTCATATTCTGTACAGTTTCTGTACATTAATTGCCCTTACTGCTGTAACACACATGTGCAAAGTGTATTGGTTACAGCTTCGACAACTCCGAAGGTATATGCACCGGGACTTGTGGTATTGTGAGTAAGTGGTAAGTTAATCTTAAGCCTTTTTGCCTTAGGAAGTCAGGTTCAGTAGGAAGATGCTGTGAATGTCTGGTTTAGGTACAGGGCCTTCCCTGAGGAGACTGGGTATTTGAGTACCATATGAGGTGAATTTTTATATCTATAATGGCTTTCAACTGAGAAATTTGGATGTTGTTTTAGGCTTAAGTGGCTATTATTTGCACATTGTAGAGGATGAAAAATGTCACTGTTGCAAATCTCAGTGAAGGTCTAAATGTTCATGTTGAATCAACATCTTCAACACCTTCACTTCACTTTTGAATCTATTTTAAACGTCTTTTCACTGTAAAAATGCTCCCTGGGTTAGCTGGCACTAAACTGAACAGAGTCAAAATCAACAATTAATTGATTAACATAATAGAGGATTTTAGGTGCTAAGGAGTCATATATTTTTAGACCAAAACAGAGCTAAAGAAGAGTAAATATTGGACTTACGTCGCCAGAAACACAACTTCAAACATTTTGTCATGTTCCTCTGTGTCTGCCTGATGTGCAAACAGGTAACTGCTAACATGTTTACAGCATTACAATATGATCAAATGTCAGTATTATTCTCATTTTGTTGCCCCCAAGCTGCCAAAAAAATCTAAATCAGTCAATCTAGGTTCAAGGTTCATGTAGATTTTTTTTCTTTCTTTTTTAAAGGTTTTTGAAACAATGCATGCCCATCGTTGCCTTGTCCTCTCGGCGGTGATCATCACGTGTTACCTTATGACGGGACTGTACAATTGCGTGGCCTGCCAGAAGAAGAAGTCCTGCCATGTGCAAGACGGTAGAGCTGACTGCAGTCATCTCAGCCTCAGTGCGGTCCCCCCAAACCTTCCCAGCAACCTCACTAGCTTGGACCTGTCTCACAACAGATTGCTGGGGATTCCCCCTGAGTCACTAACCCCATACCCAGGCCTCCTCCACCTTGATGTCGGTTTCAACAGTATCACCAAGCTGGATGGGGGTTTGTGCCAGACACTACCTCTGCTGCAGACATTAAATATAGAGCACAATGAAGTGCATTTTCTCAAGAAGGAGGATGTGAGCCATTGCACTAATCTAACAAGGTTGAATATGGCTAGGAATAGGCTAAAACTACAAGGAGAGCCCTTCTCTGCACTACAGGTACATGTTGCACTGATGAGTTGGATCTTTGATAGCTGGAGAGACAGTGAAAGCCTCATGAACAATTTGTACAATAATAGTGATGATGAATAAAAATAGACAATGAGATGATAGTGAATTGTAATTTTTAGGAGAAAAAAACTATTTTGCCCCAGCACTTGCTGGCTCCAGCTACATATTTACCGTACAAACATGAGAGTGGTATCCATTCATGCATTGCATTAAATGACACTTGATGTTGTTTTTGTTCTCCTTTCATAATTCACAGAGCCTGAAGTTTCTTGATGTTTCCGCAAACAATTTGCAATCAGCCAAGCTCAGCTCACAGCCTGTGCTGCCCAGCCTGGTGAACCTCAACTTGGCATTCAATAACTTCACCACTCTGAAGAAAGATGACTTTTCCTTCCTTAACCATTCATCTTTTCTACAGACCCTCAACCTATCATCTGTGTCTCTAAAAACAGTAAGAAACTTCCCTAGAAATGGGACATGAAATTTAATTGTCAATATTGGAACCCTGGTAGGATGTAGAGTTATTGTAGCACCTTACCTTTCAGTTGTCTGTTTTGTTTTCCTTTTTTGTCTCACTGCAAGATCTCTTTGTTTTGTTGCAGTTGGAGCCTGGTTGCTTTAAGCCCATTTCAGGACTACACACTTTAATCATGGATGAGAGCAAAATGGGCACTCTGATTATTGCTAAACTCTGCTTAGAGCTGTCAGGGACAGCCATTGATACCCTGTCTCTTCGGGAAATGAAGCTGGTCACACTCACAAACAAAACATTTTCAGGGCTACAAAAAACATCTCTAACCTACCTGGATCTGTCCCATAATGGCATGGGCAAAATTGAACCAGGCTCATTTCAGTGGCTGCCCAGACTTCAGACTCTAATTTTGTCGTACAACAACATCAAGCATGTGACCAAGGAGACATTTCAGGGGCTCAATAGTTTGAAAAAACTCAAATTGACAAAAGCTCTGGTGAAAAGTCATACCTCCTCCACCCCGATTATTGATGATTTCTCCTTCCAGCCATTAAGTGCCCTTGAGAGTTTGATATTACAGAGTACTGCAGTTCAGAAACTCACAGAGCACACATTTACAGGCTTGACAAGTCTTAAAGAACTTGATATGAGTTGGAGTAGTTATACCTCGCTTAGAAATATCAGCAACAAGACCTTAGTCTCACTAGCTGGATCACCTCTCACAAAGCTAAATCTGACAGGAACAGCCATAACAAACATTAATCCTGGAGCCTTCTCTGTTTTCAGTAATCTCACTACTCTTGTTCTAGATCACAACTTTATTAAACAAAATCTCACTGGCAAAGAGTTTGAAGGCCTGAGCCAAGTTCAAGAGATTCACATGTCCTATAATCGCATGATCAATCTGAGCTCCACGTCGTTTGTTAATGTTCCCAGTCTTAAGGTTCTGACTTTGGGAAAAAGTCTTGCAGCCAAAGCCTTGAACCCGGAGCTCTCTCCATTCAGTCGCCTGTCCAACCTCACCATACTGGATCTCAGCAACAACAACATTGGTAACATCCGAGAAAATATGTTGGAGGGGGTTGTGAACCTAAAGGTGCTAAAGCTCCAACACAATAACTTAGCCCGTTTGTGGAAGAGCGCCAACCTAGGTGGGCCAGTGTTGTTTCTCAAATGGGTACGGAACCTGAAAACCTTACTGATGGATAGTAACGGGCTGGATGAGATCCCAGCAGATGCTCTGAGAGGGCTGAGTGACCTCCGTGAACTAAGCCTGGGCAGCAATCTCCTCAATAGTCTTAAGGACTCAATTTTTGATGATCTCAACTCACTGCAGCTTTTATTTTTACAGAAGAATCTGATCACAACTGTGAGACCCGAAGTGTTTAAAACACCTATGAGCAACCTCAGCCTGCTTCTCATGGGCAAAAATCCATTTGACTGCACATGTGAGAGCATCCTGTGGTTCGTGACATGGTTGAATAACACAAATATGACCAATGTGCCAGGTCTCAGGGACGAGTATACGTGCAACACTCCACTAGCTTACTTTAACCGCTCTATCATGGATTTTGACACCCTCTCTTGCAAAGATATGACCCCATTTCGGGCTCTTTACATACTGAGCAGCAGTACTGTCATCATGCTGATGGTAACTGCACTTCTGGTGCGGTTCCACGGCTGGAGGATTCAGTTTTATTGGAACATATTGATCAATCGCACATTAGGGCTTAGTGATGCCGGAGTTGAGGAGGGTAGGGAATTTGAGTATGATGCTTACGTCATACATGCAGAGAAAGATGCCAGCTGGGTGGAGAGAAGGATAGTCCCCTTGGAGAATGACAACTGCAGGTTTTGTTTGGATGATCGAGATTCAATCCCTGGCATGTCACAGCTTGAATCCATTGTGGATAATATGAGAAAGTCTCGGAAAATCTTGTTTGTCGTCACTGAAACTCTTCTCAGAGATCCCTGGTGTAGACGGTAAATCAAACATACACTGCTATACATTATTATAAATTATACAAAAGATTAAAGCCAATTTAAAAATCTAAATATGTCATTTAAATATGTGTGATGTGTAGTGTATTTTGTCTGGGTTACTCAGGCATTCATGTTATGTAATTGTGATAAAGTGAATTCTCAAAGTTGTCTCTCTGCCCTCATACCAATCCAGATTTAAAGCCTACCACGCACTTCACCAGGTCATTGAAGCCAGCAGGGACTCTGTGGTTCTAGTCTTCCTGCAGGATGTTCACGACTACAAGTTATCTCGCTCACTCTTCCTCCGCAGGGGCATGTTGCGTCCATGCTGCATCCTGGACTGGCCTGTCCACAAGGAGAGGGTACCGGCCTTTCACCAGAAGCTCCTCATAGCACTTGGGATGACTAATCGATTGCAGGAGTGAAAGTATTCCACTGGTAGTAATGGGAAGTTCTTATTATAATATTAATTACCAATGTTTGTTCAGTTATTGCTAATTGCTACCAACTGTCGATTGTTTTGCCCTCTGTGTAAATATTGTGCTTATCCGACTATGCACTGTAAACTGTACAAACCTTATTGTATTTCCATTACATTGCAGCTTTATATAAACAGAAAATCAAACAAAACAAGTGTTTCAACTTGAACAGTTTATGACTGAGCAAAAGGGAATCTCTAATGTGCAAAAAAGTGGCTGTGTGTGTATCTGCACACACAAAAAACTATGGCTTATTTGTGTATTTATTATTTGCCTATTCTGTAACTAGTAAGGTACAAAAATCATCATGTTCTCAGATGTTTTAAACTCTACATATACAGTAAGTGGCTAAATAAGGCTTATCAAAACATAACTGTTCTGCTAATGTAATATATAAAATATTTAGGAAAAAAAACAACTAAATAAACAAATAAGTTGTTTGAGGTTTTATATATCTTATATGGTGTTGTTATGCGATGACAAAACATAACTTTAAATGAATAATTTAGCTGAAAAAGTATTTTTATGTATCCAATCTTTAGTCTCTAACAATAATACAACTGAACATTCCTATCCCTTCCTCTTTAATTGTGGCTATTTTACAGACAAAGATAACAGAAATGCCACAAAAAAGGACATAAAATAGTTGGCTCCATGTATGTTTCCATGTTAGCATGTGAGAAAATAAATGGCACTGTAGTAGTCCCATTTATCCCAGTCAATAATGTGTTTCAAAATGATCAATTATTTTCTAAAAGTCATACACTGGCTCTATGTTTTATAAAGCTTTATAAAGCTTTTTATTTCATTCCCAAATACTGTTATTGCTTAGGAGTTTCTAACATTTAACCTCCATAAAATGAAATAATATTTGTACAGTTATTTTTGTTTTAAAACATTCCCGGGGCACAAAAATAGTTGTTGATCGACAGCTATATGATGCAGTGTATTTTTATATGGGTCACTTTTTTTTAATTATGATGTCCATGATGATGAGAAAATTCTAAAATATAAACACCAAGGTCACTACTCTCCCTGACCTCTCAAAGGGGTTTTTGAAAAGATTACAGTGCACCACCATTCGAACTGGGAAGGACGTACTATAGATTAAAACCACAACAGAAGATGTTTTTCCAGAATAGCTGTAAACTGGATTAGGCGCAGGTTTCCCCTTTTCCATTTTGATCCAGATGCCCTCCTCTGTTCACAAGATGAGCTCTCTGGCAAGTTTAGGACACTCTTAAACGTTAAAAGGAAAATATGAATTGTTGTCTTTGTTACCTTAATATTAATCAAATACAGTCCAAAATTTGGTCTACAACATAAAAAAACGATCCCTCCTATGAATTCTGAAGCTTTTACGTGTCCTAAACAGGAGGTTGCTAACAAGTGGCTAAATGAGACTACAGAGGTTGTCGGTGACATTAAACGGCAGCACGCCGAACACAAAGACTTTACTCACTAGTCCGCCATTACAGCCTTGTTGCGTTTACTCGTTATTCTAAATTTGCAAATTGTAGATTTAAATTACACAATTTAATTAGTTTGAAGTGGTGGTGACACTGATGTCATGTGACCGTGGGGCAATTTATTTATAGCCTTTAACATTAGCTTTTTACTATTGGCATTTACGCTTAAAAAAATCACAAATGTGGTGTTTATTCGTGAAGATTATCTTACTAAACAATAATACACCTCTGTATTCTGCTGTAATTCAAAATCCATAGCCAGGAAAGGCTTCCTTTTAAGAGGCAGAAACCTCAAGCATAACCCATTTGACTGGGAGGCGGCACATTTAGAGAAGGAGAAAGGAGGAGAGGGGTGAGGGATGGCTGAGGTCTGGGAAAAGGTGACATCACTAGTGTGATAGGCAAGAAATATGAGCCATGACATCATACAACCTGTCTGAGTATCTGATCACTGGTGTCCTGTACACTGCCATTATTGCTTATATGAATGAATGATAGCCACAACTGAGGAAATATGACCCCAGTTGTAATAAACTTGAACTACCCTTCAATATGACGTATACGATCATATCTTCTTGCACACATACTCTCAAAAAATGATTGAATGAAATGACAATGACTTTTCTAGGTCCATCCCAGATTGAAAGGAAAGAGAAAAGAAATTGGAATTTCCCTTTCCCTCCAATTGTAAATGTTTATGTTTTATATGTATTGTATATCGATTGCTCAATTGCTATTAGCTACATGGTTTCACAAAAGCATGGTAGCTGCTACTAGCTGGACAATGAAACTATGAAACACTCATTGGCACACAGTTGCTAACTGGCTATTTGTTTGGTCTGATAACATATTCCAGGTGTGTTTATCTTAATTCCTACTGTACTCTTGCACTAGCTCCTATAACTCGTGTTCCAACGACACTGCTTATTAATCAAATAATGCCAACTTTACCTTTTGCCCTATTTTACCAGTTTGAAGAAACTCTGTGGAAAATTAGGGAAAACATGGCTGCAACAACACCATACAATATACAGTAGTATACCACCAACACCAGCAAAAAATACTACTGCCTGAGGGGATTTTTTGTCAACAAATGATTGTTTCATTCAAGTGTCATTCATCTGTAACTCACTGATATGGCAGTCTTCACCAAGGCTGCGGGCAAATAAAGGCACAGAGGGAAACAGTCGCAAAGCCTCTTTGATCAAATGGGTCCTCTGTGTTAACAGGCTGGTCAGACCCACATTTAACAGAAAACACTGTTCTGTTTATTTACATTCAGTACTGAAGAGTTGAACAGAGTGCACACTACTTGTCTAATTGAAAAAGTGTCTTCTCCACTTTCATGCTGTTGAACTTTCTCCTACTTCTACATCCTTGACATATTCTCTACTTTTCCCACCTACTGCAGATAAGTGTTTAATTGTACTGTATAGTACACTGGGTTGTGTTTTTTTGATAAGACAGGGTTGGTTCACTAGGCAATTCTCCACAATACCAGGCACAGAATTGATCGGGAGGCATGCTGATGTGGTTGTTTGTTATGTTGTTGGCCTAACACTATTTAAATTAAATTAAAGTAAAGTAAATAGTACATGACCTCAATATCTAGCTGAGGCCCTGATGTTCAGTCGTCATTGAGACTGTGACACAGAGATATTGATTTAACAAGTCCATTTTGAGGCACCACAAACTACATAATGCCTCCAGAATACTTACTTTACACTTGCCTTACCTACTTTGAGAATTTAGTCTACACACAAAACAATATTTTATTCACAATGTTTAAAGAAAAACACCAACCTATTCAAAACAGTAAGTAATTACTCAGATTTTTTTTATTTATAAACATATAATATAATAATTCAAAATAGTAAAATGTAACTATGAAATAATAGCCCAGATGTTCTCATGTGACTAAAAAGGGTCTCTTTCAAGTCAAGACCTTTATATTATTTGCATTAATTTTACAACAATGAAAACCTGTTTTGATCATAATAATCTGCCGCTACGATAAGGATGTTATTTATAATCAGGTTGGATGTGATTTGAAAGTATGTCGATATAGACCAGACAAGGCAAAAATAAATAGGACAAAGGCCTTGGTCAGGGCCAGTCAGCACTCATAAGGTAAATAATTAACATCTTTATCATATAAAATGTGTGTAACATTTACATATCTCCTTTCTTTTATCACAGAATTCATTCATTATTTATCTCCTACCTTGAATGTTATTTATCTTGTATTTTATTCTAAAGCATGTTATACAATACCATAACCATAATAAATACAGTGAGCCGCCCTTTAACCCAGTGAGCTGTCAGTGGATTGGCTGCAGAGAAAAGGAGGGGCAAAGCAAAAGAATACATGTCGCATATTTATAGCGAAGGCACAGGAGGACAACCTTGTGCTGCAGCTTGAATACACACATACGCTGTACGTACACACTGCAGAAAGATGGCAGTTGAACTTGGTAGTTACTCAGTACCTTTACTTGGAGTGAGCATCTTCATTGCGGCTCTGACCTACATCACCTACAAGCTGCTCAGCAGTTACCTGCACAAATGGTTTGAGATGAAGCCTATTCCAGAGGTGGAAGGAACATATCCCTTCATTGGAAATGCACTGCAGTTCAAAAATAATGCAGGAGGTAAGAAAGCATCCAACATGGTACAAGAGGCCGCATAGGCTGATTTATGTGTAGGTTGTCAAGTAATAGAGCATTAGGCACAGTGGAACTCAGCTGTGATTGCGTACTCGCCCACTTAATGCTCCATTACTGTATATAGAGATGTTTTATCTTCGTTTCAGATTTCTTTCGTCAAATCGTGGATTATACCCAGGAGTTCTCGAGTGCACCGCTGCTTAAACTCTGGATTGGAATAGTTCCATTTGTGATCCTGTTTCACACTGAAACTGTTGAGGTATAGTAACTCCACTTTGACAACACCAAGTACGCATACTGTAGGTGTAACTTGTCCAAAGTCCACACGCCTTATCTTGTAAATATTGTGTATTTTATGAAACAAGTTATCTCAGTAACTGAATAGGACTTTTTAAAATAAATTACAGTCCAACTGTTACAGCCATAACAATGAACCCAAATTGAAGCACTTTAAAACAGTTCAAGTTGAATTCCAACTCTATTAAATGACAACTTGTTAAACAGTTGTTTAATTTTTCTTATTTTTTTGTAGGCAGTTCTGACCAACCCTATTCATATGGAAAAAGCCACTGTATACAACTTCCTTCACCCTTGGCTTGGAACTGGTCTTCTCACCAGGTATATGCCTGTGGCTCTCCTCTGCACAATATTAAGTCTGGCGGTGACAATCAGTAAAGCAGCTTGCATTTATAAGAGAAAGAAAAAAAATGATGATGAAATAAATAAATACAAATAATATGACCATCTTTATGTCCCAGATGCAAACTGCAATGTACTGTGTGTTCTGACACCTTTCTTCTTGGATTGGACCAGACGGGCCAGCCTTCACTCGCCACGTGCATCAATGAGCTGCAGTTTTAGAGATGCTCTAACCCAGTTGTCTAGCCATCACAATTTGGCACTTGTCAAAATTGCTCAAATCCTCACGCTGCCCATTTTTCCTGCTTCTAACACATCGACTTTGAGGACAAAATGTTCACTTCCTGCCTTATATATCCCAACCACTGACAGGTGCCATG